TTTATATACTTATCCAAATTTGTACATACATAATACTTATAGATATATCTATATCTATGTATACATCTATGTATGTATGTATATATGTATATATGCATTTAATCACAAGTCAGAGGATATATATTGTTGCATGTTTACGTGCGCGTAGATCTCTCCAACTATAAATTATGATTTGTTTAGCAATAAGTTGCATACAGTCAAATATTAATGAAGTCCTAAACTTGTGGGGAAAAAATTTGGTAGCATGATTTACACATAAACGTACTGATTCTATTTTGGGATATATGATTCAATGGATATGATGTATTTTCACATTTTCGAGCAAGGAGTATACACTGTTTTACATGCTGAACATAATTTACTCTATTTATCAACTCATATTGACCTCTGCTAGTAGAAGTGTACGCCGAAATAAATATCTACTTGCTGCACAGTCGTTTGTGCACCCATCGTTTGTTGTTGCATTCGTCCGCGCTGTGCTTGCAATCGAAATACTCTTCTAAAAAAAATTGCACAGAATCTCATATATATATATATTATATATGTTTGTTTGTTTGTATGAACAAACCTTTTCAAATGCATACATAAATATATATACATAATATTTATATATATATTATATATTATTGTATATATTATTATTATACATATATATTTTTATTATTATATATATATATATATTACTACTATATATATGTCATGCAGCAGAAACTTCACATTTATCCTACATGACCAGATTGTACTTCCACGATCTCATATATGATTATTCCATATATATTTGTGTCTGAATACATATATATATATATGTATATAATATACATATATATATATATATATTTGTGTGTGTGTTCGTGTGAGTGTATATGTATATATATAGATATAGATACATATTTATTTGTATATATAATATATAATATATCTATATCTATATATTTATATTTATATAAGATTATACACATATAAACACATACATATACACATACATACTTATATTTATAGCATACATACATACATACTCACATACATACACACACATATATACTCATATATATATATATGTATATATATATATATATATATATATATGTATGTATATACATACATACATATACACATAAATTATACATACATACTCGTGGGTATATCTGTATACTCATATGCACTACTATTATTTTAGGTTTTAACGTATATGTATACGTATTAATGTATCTTTATCTATGAGTACATCTACTTTTGTTGTCAGTTTCGTTTTTGAGTTTTCTCGTTCTGTATTCGGTCTCTGTCAATAGATTTTGTGACACATTTGCATCAAGGTCTGTCAACATGTGAAGGTTGTAGCAGAAGTATTTCTATATATTTCGTTTGTACGTCTACTTATAGGTATGCGTAGTTACTTCTATAGTAGTTGTTTCACTGTCGAGAGAATTTTCTCTGTATAACTCCCAGGTCTGAGGGTTTGTGTGTACTCGAAAGTGTAGTGTATTCTATAGATAGGATTATTGCAGCCAATATCTAAAAGTACATGATCTGTAAGAACCAGGCGTACACTTTTTATTTAATACTTCATTTTTCACCGCTTGTTACTACCTATCACAGTCTAGATCCCTGGCTGAAACAAACAAAACGAGATCAACCACGTTGCCCAAATTGTCGATCCATTGTGAAATCCGTGGGTGGTTGGGCGACTATAAACCTTGGAAAGATCGGGTATGTTTACACTTTGTATTTCGATCACTGTTGATGTGCTCACGCCAAACGCGGAAGCTACTTGTTGTATGCATACGAATATTCGCGTTGCTCGCGGTATAATTGGGATTAAAATAAACCTGTGATCATCTAACGAATATGTTTGAACGTGTCTTAGTGATACTTGGCATTGGGCTCCTTCCATCGGATTAGGATTGATATTGCTCTTACACCTGTTTAGACATTCTGGTTTTTTGTCACGGTTGCTCTAGAACTGACAAAGCATCAAATCATGCTGCACAAAGCTTCGTACGCCATTGTTATTCTACAACTGGTCTCAGCGTAAAATACTGCATGTTCTCAGAGTATACAACTACATTTGCAGCATTATTTGAGTTGAAATTGATAGTGTTGTATAAATGTTTACTCGTACGAATACTTGTCTTGAAGCGAGAGTTCAAGGTATACGATTGGCAGATACGGGATGAGAGCTCTTACTTTTATTTCTGCCCATTCACATTTGGTATTTTTTACAGTCCCCAATCTTCCCAAGGTTTGGACTCTGGAGAATGTAATCTGACTGATGATCACAAACAAAATGAAGCCCTACAAAGGATAGAAGTGCTGGAGGTGATCTTCATGTGTATGCTGCTTGACTTGATGAGAATCACCGTGTATCGTTGGGATTTGGTTGTGCGTTATGTGCTGATCTGGCCACAGTTCTTTGGTTTGGTACCTTAAGGCATATGGGCCCCCGAATGGAACACGTTGCTCATTTCATTTGCCTTATTTGCACTCCAGGCTGAAGTCAGATCAATTAAAGTCAAATCAAGCGATCTGGAAGCAGAGAATGCCAAAAACAAAGACGATCTGAAAGCGGAAAAGGTTTGATAGTGCGCTATCTTCGATCTATGTATTCAAGCATTCCTCCTATGTGTATTTTTACTTTGGAATGATGGCAGGAACGTTGTGTCTGAAATGGCTTATTTATATTACGCAACTCCTTCGAGAAGTTCATTGTCACATAGAATCTATATGAAGGAAACGACATTCTTAGGGTTAGGGTGTGATATAACATGTTCTAAATCAATTGTGAAAGACAGAATCTACCCCACATGTACAGTTGCAGTTGCATGGCTGACATCCTTCTTAGTATTTGCTCACTTTGGTGACATGCGGATTCCGTGAGTCCATCCCCCGTGCTTCGGCGATAGCAATATTACCTAACAGTACACTGTCCCTATCTGCGGCCTTTCTTGTTTGTCGACTCCATCTAATGCTAATAGAGTTTTTTGTCACGTCGACAGAAAAAGAATAAAACGCTGATACAGAAGAACGCAGACTTGGCCGGCAAATTAGAGAGTAATTTCCAAGAACAGTTCCACTTACGCGAAGCACTTAAGAATGCGAGAGCCAAAAACGACGAATTTACAATGCAAGTTTTCTCGTGTCTGCAAATACTGAGTGTAAAATTGTGTTAATCCCCAGAGTCTTGTGCCGCCCGTCGTGCAGGAGGGTGGTTGCCGTAACAACTGTGTGTTCGGGTTGCTCGTTGTCGATAGCACACAACCCACGTCAAGTCAAATCGGGCGATCGAGTTGCTATTTTGGCGGCCGGAAAACTATACACCATCGTTTAACATCCGACATTTCGATTTATACCTACATATATGCATTCTGCTTTACGTTCTACCAGTGCAACGTTTCAACATATAGAGATTTTAAGAGTAAACATATTACAGTTGTGGTGCTACTTTTATCTAACTAAGCACTGGAGAATAACTGACTCGTAGATTTTTTGGCTTTAAATTGCAGGCTGAACAAACTGATGACCGCTCCCAGTAATTCCTTTAAGCATGAAAAGGGCAAGTTCGAGAATGTCAGCAACGACCTTCTGATAAGCGTGTTCCTACAGGAAAAACAGTATGTCTAGGAGTGTCGTAGGGAGCCCTGATTCAACAACAACAAAAATGAGCCCTGATTCATTCTTTTTTTCATATGCGCCTATCAAATGTCTCTCCCGGCTATCCGAGTTTGCAAAACCCGCAATGATTTGATTTGTTATGCTTGCTTGCTCTTTTTCAAGATCAAGATTCACTTTTCAACCTTTCAAACCAGATATTGGTAGTTCGTTAGATGGGCTTTGTAACTACATTCGAAAATCATAAATCTATGGCACTCACTATAGAGCCCTATGTCACAGAACTCTCTGACATGCTAAACCTGTGTGGGTGCCACGTTTCGATTTTGACGGTGCCCACTTATAATAGATTGTATACTTGCGTCAGGGACCGATTTTTTTTTACCATCAAGGGTACTTGTGCCTTGCACTGAACAGCGGAGCTTGATGAATACACTTAGCTTGAAACCACACACTGAAATACACCCATTGGGATCGGCTGCAGCATATCGAATAGGAATTTTTAGCTAAATGAGTCATTCGTTTGCACAACCATCCAGTACTAAAGAAAGGCTGGAGCGACACTACAAAGAAAAACTCAGAGAGGCGGACTTTGACAACAATACACTTAAGCAGCGGGTATGCGAGCTACATGCCAACAGAATGATCATTTATATGTTGTAAATTTATTGAGACTTTCAGTTTTTTTTCAGTGAGTACATGAGTTTGCAACGACTGTTCATTACTTAATATGGACAATAGAGTGCGCACTATAAATTAGGATATCCAAGTGACAGATTAAATACAAGCGACAAGCATAAGTTTTTGAAGTCATATCTTGATGACAATATAGATGCACGAGATCAAGAGATCAGAACAGCTCATAGAGGGCGATAAAATGGAGATGTACGCGACCACTAAACGGCAACACGAATTGCTGAAAGAAAGGGATGCGACTATTGTGACGTTGGAGAATGAACTGGACACAAGGTGTGTAGTTGTTTTCATCTTGCAACAAATTCGTAACTACTATTCGATTTTATGTATTCTAGTTAGTTATGTCTATTCAGTATATATGAACATACATATATATACATATATATATATATATATATCAAAGTGTGTCATATTGTACTGTGACTCCCACCAATCCAAAGCATAGTCTCGAACTACTTTAATGACTCTTTTTATACAGCAAGAAACAATGCAAACGGTATAGGATCTGGTATAACGAACACAAAGACCAGATTGGGACGTCTATGTCAACGAAACCAGCAGCAACTTCTAGCGCGGTACCAGCGCAATCGGCTTCACAAGGTCGGCGCAAAGGGGAAGGTATGATTAAGCAATACATGTGTGCTCGAATGAAACTAGAATAGGGGGTTTGTAAATTGATTCCGTACGTAGAAAGTTTTCACATCTACACAAGTAGAATGTCTGACATGCCCGTTACTTCTGTATTTTTGTATGGTGGTCACGCCTAGGTTACGAAGCAGATCACGCGCCTTCGACAAAATTTTCTTGAAAGTGTATCTCAATTCCGCGTCGAAATTGGAGCTCAAAAAGCAATCATATTGTTTCTCTGCAATGCACGTGAAAATTATCTTGTACTACATATATATAATGGTTCGTCTTGATACTCTTTATCAGGTAACAAAGAGAACTCCCGGAACGGAAATTCCAGGCTTGTTTCCGTACCAAGTAAGTCAGGCTTGATAGGACAATGTATTTTTTGTGGACGCTGGTACAACAAAGTAGGGATGTGGATGTTAAATTTTTACAAACAGCGCCGGATTTAATTTCATATTTTTGTGACCTATGCTATTCACTTATGTCTCCATATGACAAACGATTACAGCATAGTCGAGTGGTATCGCTAAGTCTCCAAGTAAGTCGTTGAAATCTCTTTTTGTCATTTACGATATTATATCTTATAGAGAAAGTAATTTCTAGTGGAATGGATGATCCCATGCTGGCAAGCCTGGCTAGTGCTTTTAAAAGCCGTCCGAAAAGCATTAACACGCTGAGTAACGCTCGCCCCCCGCTAGGAGCAGTGAAGGTGTGCGAGCGATGCGTCGTGTGTTGGTGAAAGTCTGAGCTCTAAGAATTGCTGATTCACATCGTGCCCACTATCCACTGTGTTCCTGCTCGTTTGTATCTGCAGTCTTGGTCAGGGCTGACGGCTCACGTTGTTGTATTAAATAGGGCATTGCACTGGTACGTGAACAGTGCCGTGACCGGAAACTATTGTATTGATCTCGACTTACTGTGGAAAAAATCTGGGGAGTTTTCTTTTAACTCCCATAAAAACAACCTCTCATCTCTTTCTATCTCACGTGCAGATGAAAGGAGTATTCAAAAAGTGAAGACCATGCGGAAAAGCTGGTCAATGTGACTTTTTATGCTTCCCATAAGTGTTCGAATTAGTAGGCGAATTACAGCTCGAGGTGGGGCAATATACGCTATATTCATCATGAGAGGTCGACATGTATTCAAGTGTATCAGATACCTAGCTGAATGTGTGCAAGCTTATTAAATGCGAGCGTCGATTGCCCCTGAAAGGGTATTCTGTTTCAGCTGGACAACCAATTGTTTTGAATTTGCTTTCATTCTACAGCTATGTGTCAATCAACACAGTAGAGAAGATCAGTTTAAGCAAATGGGATACCGGAAGAATATTCGAAATATACACCCTTCTTTTGACCTCACAATCACGTCTTTTTGCATCTTGTTCACCAATGCTTGGATAGTTTTAATGATCTGTCGCTCTATAGGTTGTATTTATTTTTGCACCGAAAAAAAATCGCAATATGGGGAGTTCTGTTCGGTTTTGTTGGGTCAGAGATGGACACTTGTGCAAAAATGCTTCGAGGTCGACGCGGATGGTTTTGCGGTGGATACTTATTTTCTAATGATATCGAACTTAAGAAAGATGATATGTACTTAGCAATGTGTAGTTCTCTGTTCACTTTTTAGGGCCAATGGGGTACATATGTGCAAGCATGCCTTTGCGATGTATAGATATCTTAAATATAGTAATTTACAATCATATCATGTTCTTGGCAATATGCAATCTTCTATTAATAATCATTAATATTCTTGCTACGAAACCGGCGAGACGACCTTGAACGGTCCCTAATCGCCTGACATATCTACAAGCATCAATGTAGCATGTTGACTCCAGTGTAAAGTGTACAAAATTTTGCGGTTCTTTGGATGACATGGTAATAATTTGCTATGCCAATAACAAGTGGGTGACGAGAAAGTCGTGATTGTGAAAGAAATGTCAATTTTAGATCGGGCAACTGCAGGCCTTTGTGACAGATAGACGTCCCATTTTAGACTTTCACGGTAGTTCCGGGAGCACGCCTGAATAGAGTATACTGGTTAGACTGTGTTTTGAACTTATAATTCAAACGGTTTGTACATGTTTTAGTGACATAATGGTCAATGCAAACGCACACATGTGCGTTTACTTTGTTTTTCACTTTGTACCTACGATCTACTGCTTTGGCAACGATTATTCACGCGGTCGGAAGGGTATGGCGTATGTAAGCCAGGTTTTGTACCACAGAAAGCGCTTAGTGTTGTGCACTGTGTAGAGTGAAGCAGGACTATCCGTTATATGCAGCTTTGGAAGTGGGAGGTCTAAAAGGATCCCAGAGCATAAACCCCACTCTGTGTTGGGTGCATGTGCGAGAGCGAGAAGGAGGTGTGCTGTTACCTGATCAGACGGTTGCTTCAATCAACACAAGTTTAAGGCAAAGATATCCCGCTGGCAAATTTCCCGCTGGACAAATCATACTGGCGATTCATAAACTAGAAAATCGGGCCACATCCAGAAGGAGCTCTAGGGGTGCAAGTAATGGACGTAAGACCTCACGTACGACATTATCACTAGAGGTAAAGTACATGGGTCCCAGCGTATTCCGATGCGTGCAGATCAGCTATCAAGATACGATTCTAAGCAACTGCCAAGAATACTATAAAGGTCAGTTATATATCGGGACGCTGCATTTTGCACTTGATAAGCACGGAGGCTACGAGCAAGATAAGAAGCTAAACAAAGTTCATTGGCCTGAATGAAATTTTATTTATTTTTTTAAAACTAAGAAAGGAATGAACAAGAAGATAATAGATAACACCAGATGATCCTTTATTTGATTACAATCCATCACTACCCGCCCGACTATCTGATCCTAATTGCTGGAGCTAATGTGTGAGTCAACCCTAGAGCTTTCATCTTTTTAAAACCATTTAATGGAGATAGCATCATTATTCGTCCTACACTAAGATCACATCAGCCTTCAACAAATCCGACACCGGTGCCAATATGCAAGCAAAATTTGGTACACACTCGGCCCACCAACCAACAGTGTGATACCAAGATTTTAAGATATCCTTAGAAGTGAGCTCTTGCAAATCCAACAATGCCGCCAACAGATCTTCACCTACAGTTGAACCCCTGTAACCTACCAAACGTCCCAGTATTTGCACTGATTTCGATTTTTTTATACCGTGCAAACGCACATATAACTGTAGCTGCACAATTGCTTAAGACTTGTCACAAATGGTCGTACACACCTCCAATGCTGCACAGGACGATCATGCGCAAACTTTGTATTATCACTGCAACAAATGAGATAATATCTCAATCAGAGTCTCTTGGCACCGCCACAGCGCCTCACGCAGACCAAACGACATCACTTCAAAGGCATACTGTCCAGACGGAGTTGTAAAGGTAAGAATTCGGTTTTACTTTAACTTGTGCCTACCGGCGAAGTCGATGTTAACGAGGAAAACTACTTTGCAACATAAAAATTCAGTCTAATACCGAATCATTCGTTGTCCACGATTGCAATATCTGGTGCTGACCACGGGAAAGGAGAGATTTGCGTTCGAGCCTGTCACATCCATTGGTGTATCGTTACATTCCTCTTATAGTTCGAACAAAAATGTTAGTGTAAAGAATGAAGCATACTACGGATCCTCTGCCCTCATTCAATGCAACCTGAACTAAAATGAGCATTCAGGCAGCAAAACCATCTACGCCTTGTCTATATCATAAATACTATGTGCTACGTTCTGCTTATTTGCGTGTTGGTTGTGCTTTTCTAACCATCACTGAAATTTGCATATGTTCATGTAATGTATATAGTTTTATCACATACTCGCAAACTGAGAATGCTCGTATCTACCGGATTCTATCAGTCGTATCGCAGTATTGTCGGCCAGCAAACGCAGGAACAGGTATAACCTATTACTTCATGATAAATGTATAATTGGCTTCTATGCTTAGTGAAGGCGATACACGGTTGTTGCGACTGGAAAACCCGATTTTCATACCTGAGTGCGCACCCAGCTACTATAGTGTCACATCTTGAAGGGTGCGACCGTATTCCTATAATATGTGTCGGATAGCAATAATATAGGGGGTAAAAGTATTGCACATACGAATACTTTTGCTGAGCCTTTGTGTAAATAGGTGTACATTATTGAGTGCTATTGTAGTTGGTATTGTTGAAATTGGAATGGTACTGGTAAGTTCAAAGTGTGTTTGCGACATGGGTGTTCTCCTATTCAATATCATTTGCCGTACTCCTGTTGACACGGGTCGTTTTTGTATACAATGTAGATTTGAAGTGTTGCCTTCCAGGAAATTTTTCATCTCCTGACTATCATTTTATATACGGATTATGAATCGTTTGTAGCTATGTTGACCAAGTCTAAGTCGTCGTTCACGGATGATGTACGGGATAGGTGATACTTTGATGTTGTTCGCGACTTTAATGGGGAGAGTACCCACTTATCTGAGAAAGAGAATCAAGTGGCGGATATGTTGTCATGGTTATGTCGAACGATTGACCCGAATTGAAGGTTGAGGCGATTGATAAAGGTCGTCAGTTATTTAGGTTGAATCGGTTGTTACACTGCGTTCGACGGAAGTATACAAATTGACATCGTCATGGTTTCGGTGGCTTCAAAGGGAGTGGGGTCCTTATACAGTTGATGGCTTTGATGCGAAGTGAAATGAACAATTACACTGACCTGAAGAAGTACGACCCAGTCTGACATATCTCGATGAGATAAAAAAAAGGTGGTTGTATTTATTAATATTTAGATACAATTTATCTTTCTCATGAATTCAGGGTGTCCTTAATTCACTTTGATGGGTAATATAGCCTGAGTATTTGCTATAACTCAAACACTTGGCTCTATTTGAGACCCTAGTAGATGTAAGAAATTATACACTAAATGGACCCACAAAAATTTATATTTATAGCCACAGGTTTCCAATAACGGCGACAGGCGATGAGAAAACACATTAATAATATGAACTCCTGTGTTTGTGTATTATAGTTTCGTATATATATATATATATATATATATATATATATATATATATATATATATATATATATGTGTGTGTGTGTGTGTGTGT